GAAGCCTAAAATCTACCGTCAAGCATGAAACTACTATATTTCGAGCTCACATAGTTAAAACTCAAGACCAAGATCAAATCCTTGTGAACCATAAGTCCCGAGTCCAAATATGTAATTTATTTCCAAATTAGTCCATTTCGATGTTCAAAACCACAAAATTCACTTTCTTAAATTTTCGTTCAAAATCTCTTCTTTTTTTTTCTATTTGAAATCCTTGATTCAAAGGCAAAATCAAAGATAATTCATATAATAATCATAGATTCGAGTTAGAATTACTCACCCCAATTAAGCAGATGAAAATTTCCTAAAAAGTTATCCCAGTTCACGCTCTATAGCTCCCAAAATTATTTTTAAAAAAACCCCCTAAGTATGAAATGGGACTATTTATACTAAGCGCTAGGAAATGATTAAAAGTACAAAAAATAGCTGAAGTGGCTACTGGTATAATTATTGTTGGTTTTGCTGGCTTTTACCTTAAAACCCGTCCCCGAGTACCCTGAAACTCACTTGTGCTACTTGGGACCCCTCCAATCCATCCTCGCAAGTCCACATAGCCTATACAAGCTTGTCCAAGGGCTAAAAACACATACGAAAATATCACAACTCAAAAACAAACTTATGAACTCTTAAATTTTCAACTTATATAAAATAGTACTGAGAATCACACCTGAATCCCTAGGGTCCTAATCCGAACATTCACCTAAGTCCAAAATTATTGGAACCTTCAAATCATGAATTTAAACTTGTTTACTCAAAATGTTAATTTTGGTCTACTCTCTTAACTTAATACTTCAAATTTAAGTGTTCTAAAATGCTCTTGAATCCTTCGGGACCTGAACCACCTATATATACCCGCAAGTTATAAATCATCAAATGAACATATGGAAAGTCTCAAATAAGGGAACAGGCTCTAAACTCAAAATGACTGGTTGTGTCATCGCAATATCATGGAGCGACTAGCTAGGTGGAAATGCCAAAACGCATGAAGCTAATCATTTCTGATTTGTTTCTATGGACTGGAGAAGTGAATGGGCGAACAGGTCCACACGATAACTCAATTTGATCGGAGGATCCTTTATATAAGAATCACTAAGGCATTTTGCACTCACGTTGATTTTATTCGTTGAGCAATATTATTTTTCACGCTGATTTACTTTGATTAGATAGATTCTTCTAATCATTCTGTCCCTAAATTGGCAGATATGGAATTTTCGCCTTCTTACAGTTTATGGTAAAATTAGATCTTTGCTACCATATCATAAAGAAAAATCTATTTTATGAGAGCTTAACGCATAAAATTTAACCTCGACATTCAGTCAAACAACTTGACAGGCATCTTCATTTCCAAACCACACACACAACAACAAAAAAACACATGTTTGAGAGCAGGTTGAAGATATATTTTGTACTTAAATAAATTCTTAATCGTTCTTAGTGCCGTCCATTTTCCTTTTTTTTTTCTAAAAAAGAAAAAAGAAAAATTAGATCTCCCAAAAAATCCTACGAGCTAGTAGAGAGAGAATGATGTAAAGACAGTTGGAGGGGTATTGGAGTATCAATAGGAATTTTGTGACTTAACGTTCTAAAAAAAATTAAAAAAATGGATTTCACACTATTCTTCTGTTTTTCTTTAGTAGTTACTACTATTATTGTGTTTCTACTATTTTCTGGTTCTTATAATGCTGTTATTATTTCTATGGTTTCTGTGGATGGTACTGATATATTGTTTTTTTCGTCTTTTTCGTTTTCGTGAATTGAGGATCTATCGGAAACAGCTTCTCTACTCCACGGGGTAGGGGTAAGGTCTACTTATACACTACCCTCCCCAGACCCCTTATTTGTGGGATTTTACTGGGTTATTGGTGTTGCTGTTGTTGAATTCTTAAGTTATTTGATGAGTTTTAGTGCAACTTGACTGTTAAGGCAACGTTGATTTCTTTTATTAGTTTAAAAAGTATGCAACATATTGTTGTTTGACTATCAATTGCGTAAGCTTTAACATTACTTGTATACATTTCCCGTGGAGAGGTTATTGCACAATTGATCTCCCAACCTCCGCTAGCCTTTAATACAAACGACGCAATCCCTATTTATTAATAAAACTCCAGAAAAAACTGATATGAAATTATGAGGACATCTATGAGGTGAGGAATTAGAAACAGAAATGGATTAAACCGATTTGATAATATATATATATATATATATATATATATATATATATATATATATATATATATCATCAATTAAATTTTGATAGATGATTTCAACATAAGGTGATAAGTTTTTTTAAAAGATTAGGTGGAAAAAACTTAATGCATTTCTCACGACCATTAATTTCCTTTAGAATCTTGAGCTTCTGAATATTAGTCATACTTGACTATATGCATGAATGACACAATCAATATGTACAGACACCTCTTTAAGTAAAAGGAAATCTCGCAAGGAAAATGACAAGAAAAGATTAGAGAAAAAAATAAGAAGACTATGAAGTTGGTGGTAGTATTGGGGTGGAATGGAAAATACTTATATGTACCTAGTGTTCAAATCCAAACCGATAATTTAATGTAATAGTTAAAAATTAAAATGAAACTATATCTATATCTATACTATATTAAAAGCACGAAGGCCCTTGGCGAAATGTCGTTCGCCTTTTTTACCCGTTAAAAAAATTAATTATGCATTAGACAAAATAGTCATTTTATTATTTTCCTAAATTTTAGGACTTTGGAATCAATAAAAAAATATATTAAATCTTTCTTTACTTAAAATTTTACGTAATTAATTAGTCCTAATATTTAGTAGTTACGACTCACCTATACTATAAACATTAAGAATCAAAACAAAATATTTCCTTTTTTAAGGTAAAGACAACTTAAGGTTTAGCATAGATTGAAATTTGCTTCTATAACCAAAGAACGAAAACATACTTAACTTTAGACAAACACCATTCTAAACGAACTACCGTTATTCCATTTTTCAGTTATTCGAAGAAATGATAATTTCATATATATTATTTATATATTTAATTATTTATTATAAAATATGAAGGTCAGTAATTTTATAGTCATTTCTAGACTTTGTATTATCGCTTATCAAAATTTTAAGAGCTATAAGGCCAACTTTTTCATTTCCATAAGTTTAAAAGATTCAAATTATTAATTTGTTTTGTTTGAAAATTCTTGATAAAAATTTTATGTTATCTTTATGTATTAAGTCAAAAAAATAACAATAGTTTTTATAGATATTTCGATATAAGTCACAATAAGGTCTGAGGATTTCTGTGGCCAGACTTTTTTAAAAGTAAATTAGCTAAATGAGATTAGGGTTTGTTATTTTCATGATTCTTATACTTTTTTCTTTATTTTTTACTTTATAAGTCAAACAAATTATTTAATAATATTTTACATAATTTTTAAAATATTATATTTATTGATATGAGTTGGCCTTAGCGAAATATTGTTCGTCCTTTTTACCCTTTAAAAATAGAGTTGGCACTAGATAAAATAGTCATTTAATTATTTTTCTAATATTTATGAATAATCAATTAATTATTTTCCTAATATTTGGTATTTCAAAATACAAAAGAGGCAGCAGAGGATTTCTGTGTGGTAAAATTTATTCTTTTATTGATCTAGCTAAATAGGATCAATATTCATCATTCTCAAGAACTTATATTTTTTCTTTAATTTGTATTCTATAACTCAGATATATTGTTTAATAATATTTATGTGATTTTTTAAAACTGTGTATCCATCGAGATAAGGTTCACGTGCAAAGCGCGTACCCTAAGACTAGTATCACTTAATTATGATTAATTAACAAAATTTATTTATATACTACATTAATGATTTAATAGGATCCGAGTAATATTATTTTTGGGAGGAGGAAGGTAGGGAAGGGGCCATTTCTTCTTGATTTTCCCTAAAATTGACAGCTTATTGTTACGTATTAATCAAATATGGAACTCCAACATTACAAGTTCAACAAATAAATTAAGCTGCAATAAATAGTATTCAAAACTTGAAAAATAAGTTGGGCCGATGTTACTTTTAATGTTAAATAATGCTAATAAGTCACCATAACTTTTGCGGTGAAACAAAAAATTATTTTCATAAACGTTTTTCATGCATTTAAAACCTTTATAACATGCCTCGTTTTTCAGATCTCATTTTTCTTTTCTTTCATTTTTTTTCTGAAATTCATGAGAATATTTTCGTTGTTTCTCTCTTTTTGAAGCAAATAGTTTGCTAAATCGTGTATAACTAACTACTTGTAAAGTGACTAAAAATACCAACAAAAAAAAAGAGATGTAGCCTTTCCCAGAGCCAAGATGCCGAATATTTATAACGCTATGGTAGTTCAAGGTCGAAAAAACTGTATTAATTTCTTCGTCCTTGTTCAAAAAGGGTGGCGTAATGCTCTCATTCATTTCATTAACTATACAAAGCCCATCATACGTAACTCAAGAATTTATTATGGATAGCTATTGAAATTAATAAGGATGTGGTTGGATTTGTTAGAAAATTTAGTTTGGGCTTTAAAGGCTACGATGGCTTTTTCTTAGGCCGTTTTCTTATGTTTGTATTTATACATAATATATGTATGTATACGTATAATGTATGTATAGGTTCATCACACAGATACACACAGTAGTAATGGCTATATACACCTTTCACACACCGACTCTCTTAAGCAATGAATGAAAGACCTCTTCCAACCTCTTTTTCTTTTTCCCTGCACTGCATGCACTAATTAGTTGTAATTGCAATATTTACTCCAATTTTCCTTTTTCTGCATACCTTCTTGGGATTTTTCCAACCATTAATACATTTTCTGCCCCTCTATTTACAACTACTATTGTACTGTTCCTCCTTCAATTCAATTAAATTCCTATTTATTAACTCTCTCTCTTCCACCCCACTCCCCCCC